TGGTGTTTAAAATTGGAATTTTCTTCAAGTTCGATTTTAGTTTTATTCTTTAATATTTACCTTATCTACAGCAAGTATGAAAAAATTGTGTTTTTAAAATGTTTAATTTGTTAACAGTTTAAAAAATATTTAGTGGTTAAATTTGAAGAAATGCTAACCTGTAACCTGAAGTTTTCAAATTGCAAGTTTTTTTTGGGAGGGGGACACAATTTAATGAATGTTATAGAATTTTGAGTTTATTAAGAGTCAAGTTTGCAGAGTTCTACCTTTATTTTAGAACTATTTTGAATGCTGTTCTTTAGAAGCAGTTGTTTTAAGTTTTCATTTATTTGTGTCTTAAATTAAATCGTGTTCATTTATTTGTTAAATTTGCCCTCAGAATTTATTTTATTATTATAATTTACTATATATGTTTTCCCATATAAGATATTTAACTGTTTATATAAAAGTGCCTTTTAATTCAAAATTTGTAACTAAAAATTTTACAGAATTGTAACTTTTGGTTGTGAATTTTTAAATATGTTCTATGCATTTAATTGTTCATAATAGTAATGTTTATGGCTTCTGTGTGGTTTTTTTCAAGTGAAACAATTGAATCTCAAAAGTTTTGGTCTTTATGTTTATGAAACTAATCTCATTGAAATATTATGGAATTAGTTAACAGTTTCAATGCATAGTAATTTTGCTGCATTTCTCTGCAAGCTTGCATTCCTCCTTTTCTTATATTGCTTATTAAAAGAAGTTTAATAAGTTTTGTATTATTTAAAAAAAATTCTGAAATCTTAAAATCATCAGATTTATGTGGAATTTTGCATTTGATGTGGAAGTATGGAATTTTAACTCTTCCCAGTAAATCAACTTAAGGTAATGTTTGAAATTGTAATTAGGATCATTTAATTATTAGTGTGAAAAAAGTAAAATTATATTTAAGGGGAGGGGGATGAAGTATTTTTCTGATGTCTTTATAAAGATATGAGAAAGGATAATTTAGAAAGATATCAGAAAGGATAAAATTTGGAAATAATTTGATCTTTTGATTTATTGAGACATATCTTAATATTGCTTTATACTTTTAGTTCTGAAGAGGATTTTAAAAATAGTAGATTATGCAATAATAATACAAGTTAAATCCTTTCATCTATTTTGTTCTTTCTTCAGATTAAGACTGATTTATAATTAAAAATTTTAGTTGTACTTCTGTAATTCTCAGGCAGTTTTTTTTTTTTTTTCTCTTTAGGCTATCTTGAAATTTTTTTAATATGCATGTTAATTAACATTTTAAGATGCTTTTAATTCTGCTTTGAAATAAATGCAGTCAAACCCCCATTAGTGGGTACTATGGGATGAAGGCCTTGAAAAAAATGTTTAGTTTATAAGAGATTTTAAAAATCATTGTAGTGAGAATGCAGTAATTAAAACTACATTAAGTAATTAATTAAATATGAACAAATAATTATGTAAGTGCATGAATGTTAAAATAAAAAGCGCTCAAATCAAGTGAAAAATGTGCTTTTTGATTTAAATAAAAGAAATATAAAAATAGAATGCATGCTATTATAGAAACTATCAAACATAACATGTCAAGACCTTTTGTTTTTGTTACATGATTTTGTCTCTGTACCCTTTTTAAGATTAGCTTGTTAGTTATAGAATTCAGAGTCCCTGTTGTTCAAGAAATAGTTTTTAAGTATCGTATTAAATGTCTGTACCTGTTTACAAGGACAATTGCTTGCCTCGTTACTTTCTATTTTATGTGTTATTTGATGTCATTTACATTTTTTTTTTCCTGTAAAATATCCTATTTCCAAGCATTATTCTTCCATAGATAAATTTTTCATAGATGAACAAAGTTTGAAAATAATATGTATCCACCATGATGTATTTTTCTGCAGCACTTCCCCATTAAAATTTCTGTGATAAATTAATTTTCCTAAATTGTGCCTTTTAGGAGTTCTTTTGCACTTAACTCAAGCTAGTGGCTTAAACAGCTTCTAGTACCCAATAAGCAGCATATAGCAGTTAATTTTTTTCTGATTTCGTCCTTACTATGTTCATCTCTGAATGTTTGGTAAAATGTAGCAGCTCTTCGTTATGATCGTGAATGCTTGAATTGTGAGTTAGTTCTTAGATAGGAAATTTGATGGGGAAAACAAATTAGTGGGCACTATGGGATGAAGGCCTTCTTCCGTTACCATGAAGTGTTGATAAGTAATGCTTTGATACTAGGGTGCGTGCATCTTTTTTCCCTCTTATCAGCGTTACTGGAAAAGGGATGTCTTGGAATACCAGATTTTTCAAAAGTAATTGATTTTTTAAAATTACTAATTTAATTAGGTTTACCGTTTTTAATAAAGCCAGCTTTTTTTAATGTTTGCTGCATGTATTTAAATGTTTCATTAAATTTATTTCTTAGAATAAAACTCTTGCATTCCATTAATGATATTCAGATTGCAGAATAGTTTCAAAAGAATGTAAGTAAAGCTAAATAAAATTTAAACAACTTTCTTGCGCCACTGCTTCAAGGAGTGAAATTTGAATTTAGCAAACATTCTCTATTTGTAAAAAGCAAATTTAAAGTTAATTAAATTTAATGAAATTGAATTAAAAAAAAAAAAAAAAAAAAAAAAAAAGATTAATTATTGATGCAAACTAATCTACAATATCATTTAAATTCTGAGAGCATATGTAAACCAAGTGCAAGTATCAAAATCAATGTAATAAATGTATAATATATAATTCCAATAAATTTTTTAATCCTAAAAATTCATAAAAAATGCTTAAGTGAATAATTGTTGAGCATGCAGGAGACGGACTTATCAAGGGGAAGTTGCTTCCAAACCTCTTCAATAATTCAATTTGAGTTTTGTCATCCATGTAGGTTTGAATCCATGTAGGTCATTAGCTTTAAATTTTCCTTTTACCATTGCCTACATGGATGAAGAAACATGAATTGAATAATTGAAGAGTTAGGTTTGGAGGCAACTTCTCCTTGATAAGTCTGTCTCCTGCCTGCCCAACAATTATTCACTTATGCATTTTTATAAATTTTTAGGATTAAAAAATTTATTGGAATTATATATTAAAAATTTATTATATTCATAGATTTTGATACTTGCACTTGATTTACATATGCTCAGAATTTAAATGATATTGTAGATTAGTTTACAGCAATAATTAATCATTTTTTTTTGTAATTCAATTTCATTTAAAATTTAATTAATTTTAAATTTTCTTTTTACGAATAGAGAATGTTTGTTAAATTTAGATTGCAGAATATATCTTTTAAACGATACCTTATAATTGAAGAAACACTGTTTTCTTGCTTTTCATTTTAACTGAAAGCATTAGGTGCAATGTTAGCATTAGGTGCAATGTTAAAAACAAGTTAATAAAGAACAATAGCTTGAGTCATTCCCATCTCCAGATGTCTGTGAGTAAAATTTAGACAGATTTGTTGCCTCAATTATGGAGATATCAGCCAACCTGTTTTGCTGGCTTCTCTCTATGCACTAAATTGTATTCTGAAAACATTTTGGCGTTTTGCATTCCAATAACTAGTGATTTTCTAGCATCACCAGTCATATTGTAACATAAAATTTTTTGTTTTTCTCTTAACCTTGCCTCAGATACTCTCATTTCTTAAACACTATGCTTTATTCCATAATATTGTATTAAAACTGTTTTGTTCAGTAACATTCTGAAAAGACTGATTTTCCTCAGATTATTCACTTAAATTGTTAATTTGTGTTTCAGATTATTCACTTAAATTGTTAATAAGTTTTTCCAATTCATTGTGTAATCAATTAAGAATCTTTTGATTTAGCTTCACCACAAACTGACACTGTGCCTCATTAGAAATTTGTGAGACAGTCATTTGAAGCATTTCCAATTATTCTGAGACTTCTGTAGCTTTTGGGGCAGCAAGGTACATTTACAGTAACATGCATGCAGAGCAAAAACAGCAGAGATTGAGTTAATATCATTTGGACTTTATTTGGGCCTGCAAACACATGTATATATTTTTTTTTATTTTCATTGCTGTTTCAGATCAAAAGTTTTCTTTTTCCTTTTTTTCTCCCCCTCCCATTTCTGTTTTTTACAACTAAAACTTGTGCTGAAAATTTTTGGAAACTATGTCTTCTCCTGAAGCATTAGCCATTTTATTTTCCTTCTTTTCTTGTTAACCTTTTGTATCAGGATTTCATTTCAATATAGCAGGCAAACTAAAGCCAATTCTTTCTACACATATGGCTACTTTAACATTAGTGTGTATGAATTCAGTAGGAACAAAAGAATAAATATATTGTGTTTGATGGTGTGTGATCTGTTCTTTGAGTAGATTGTCACATTGCATCCTGAGAAATGAGAATGTCTAAATGGTGGAAGAAGATTTGTATCACTGAGACGATTGCTTTTCACACAGTTCTCATACTTCACTGAACCCTAAAGAATAGGTTGGAAATTTACCTTTGTACATCACTGTCATTTTACAAACCGTAAACTTGAAATTTCCTACTATTTTTGTCTCTCTTAAATTCTGAAAAGAAATTATTTCATTTCACAATGCATGCATTATTAAGAGAAACATCTATTTATCTAAAAAGAGTGCATTCTCACTACCTTCCCTGAAATATCATCATTCGTAACTTCAACAAAGCGTTGCAGTATTTCAGTATTCTAGTGCCCAAGAATTAGTACTAGAGCTATCCACTTGTCAGAAATGACCTGTATTTTCTCCTTGCTAGAAATTAGAAATATGTTATATTCATTGGCACCTCTTGTGTTAAATAATCATCCTTTAATATTGCCTGCTACACTGTATTATCTCATTTTATTAGAATAAGTTTTGAAAAAGAAATGGTTGATATTTAATTTCATGAAGTGCTGAATGAAATAATTAGAAACTTGAATAAAGAACAGATTTAATGAAAAATTTAAACCTGTTTCAGCCAATGCCTAAGTAATCCAGATATAATTTATGTTTTCTTGCTTTTTCACAGTACATTTGCAGATCCTCAAGTAGAATTTGGAGACTCAACTCATTTTTTAAGGTTTGGCTTTTTTATGGTCTGACTTTTTTTAAGAGTTGGCTGTAATATAAATTTTATTGTATAGAAAATCTCCCCCCAAAAAGAACAACTTTGATATAAATTTTGATTAAATTTAGTGAAAATATGAATTTTTTATTGACAGTTTTGGTAAAAAGCTGCATGAAGTAGAAATAAATTTTTATATTATGATTGGTATACATATACAAAACTAGAGTCAGAATTCATTACGTAACATAGTTTAATGTAGAGTGAGATTATGTGTCTGAAAACTCAGGTTTAATTTCCAAAGTCTTATGATGCAATTAAAAATGGGATAAAATACCCTAGATTGATAATGCGGAAATCACGTTTCAGCATGTTAACCTATGTTATCCCAATTTAAATTTCATTTTTATCTTGCGTGGCAGTTATTTTTTTAATGGTATCTGCTAGTCTTAATTTTAATGCAATTTTATTTTTTGCCTGAAAGATGAGTGGAAGTAGAAAGTCTTATATGGCTAATTTCAAACTACAGATAATAGTGTTTGCTAAAAATTCTAACAAATGTATGGCTGCTTGGCATTTCTTCATAAATGAAAAACAAGTTCAAATGGAAAAAGCTGGGTGCAAATTTTGCCAATACATCTTTTTGTTTTAGTTATAATCCAACAAACCAGCTAGAAGTACTCACTAGTCACTCACTTCTTATAAACATTTTTGATAATAAAAGAACTCTTTTTCATAAAACGAATAACTCATTTAATTTAAAATAAATTTTTACATAAACTTAAAAAATAAAAAAGTGCAATATTTAACGATTTATAATTTGTTCCTGCCTAACAAAAAAATACCTACGTTTCTTGTGAGATTAACAGATCCTTATATAAATCGACCTCCGTAACTTAGCTGTTGAAAAAGTTCCCAAGATTCTCACCTTGTACACAGAAATATTCTGTACCAATTTTTATTGAATATATCAAGCAATTTATTTAAGCTGTTGAATAAATAATGTGATTACTCATAAAGACTGTGATATGTAGTTCACATAGAAATGTATCGGATTGTCTAATAAATACTGGCTTGAGTTTGAAATTTTTTTTATTTGTTGAGTAGATTCAGCAAATAAAATGCATCAAGCTTTTTTTAAGTATTGTGTAAGTTTCAATAATATTTCTGTGTGGTGTGTTTCATAATATTTAATTATAAATTCGGCTTTACAGTCATGTCAGAAATGTATTTTGAGCAAAAACTGTGTTTCCTTGAAAATTAGCTTTAAAGAAGAGTTGGCTTTTATTTTAGGAAATACAGTGCAAAGTCTGGAAACCAGAATAATCTAATGTCCAGATCTTTGGACCACCTGCAATTTATTTTAATGAAATTTAGGAATGCAGACTATAATACTGAATGAAAAGGCAAGGTGTGTCATGAAAGTGATTTTTCTGCTGACTAACTGACATTCCTGGAAGTCACTTTCAAACACCTGTTGACTAGAAATCACATTGTGGCAAGTGACAATGCATTGATTGACATTACCTGCAACCAATTTTGCCTCTTTAGTGGTTGTGGAGGGGGTAATAGTTTTCTGTCTGGTCTGAAGAATAAGTGAAGCATCTAGACATATTTGTTTTGAGTGGGGTGTTGCTATTATTTGTTTTTTATTTATTGGCATAACAGTAGGAAGAGAGAAAGAATTAAAATCAAAAGAAATTCAGTTAACATAGAAAATTTCACTCTACCCTAAGTAACTGGATTTAGCTTATTTTTGTTGCATTCTATTAATATTGCAGCTACCTTATCAAAATAAAAGTTTTTTCTTTTTATTACATCAAAAAGACTTTGTTTTTGGAGCTGTAGCAGGGTGTATAAGGCAAAAGCACATTTGGTACTTGCTACCTAATAGGGCCTTGGCACGAGAAAATGGTGTTGATGGAATTCTGGCTTAAGAAAGTTTGATTTCAAAATTAGGCAAAATAGCTGATGGTCTAAAATGCATAAATTTTCAAAATTTGAAATCTCCGAAGTCCCAACGATTCTGGATCTTGGACTTTGTACTGTATGGCTTTCAAGTAGTTGATTTTGATTTTAATCTGGGATACTTTCATCTTTAAATAATGTTGGCTAGTGATAAGTGATATTTTTCTAGACAAACATAATGCTGAATGAGTTAAAGTTGGTCTTGCTTGGTTTAAGAGATGGTTATATTTCTTGCTTCTTTTTTATTTGAAAATATATTTCTTGCTTCTTTTTTATTTGAAAAAATAGATAATGATCTGGGATGTGCATCTTGTTATATAAATAAATTAAATTATAACTTCATCACAAGGATAACAGGCGTTTATTAGAAGAATGGAAAAGTTAAGCATATCAACTGCAACTATATAACTGATGTTCTAAAGTTGGCAGATTGCCCCAAAACATAGATTACATCATTTATTGCTCTGAGAGACAAACACAACATTGCACATTAATCATTGCATCTGGAGACATTTAGAGGTGTAAAATAACAACACCACTCCTCAATGATTAATCCTGAATAAAATAAAATAATGTACCTTAAGATGCATAAAAACAATAAATATATAACATGAAATTACACCTTTAACATAATCCAAGGTTTTGCCTAAAAGTTTTTAGTTTGGTTGCTCCTAATAGCTTTGTTAAAATGGCAGCAGTCGTTTCATCAGTGCGCACATGTCGAAGTTAGTAATTTTTATTTTTAACAAGGTCCTTAACAAAATGGTATTTAGTGTCTTTATGTTTAGTTCTTCCACTATCTTGTTAGTTATTTAACATCTTGGTACAACTTTGGTTTTCCTTATAAAAAATGCAAATGGTGTCTGTTTCGTGGAAATCTTGCAAAAATCTTTTGAGCCAAACTGCCTCCTTTGCTGCCTCGGCAAGTACAATTCTGCTTCAGTTGATGACAAGATCACACACGGTTGTTTTCTGCAGTTACATGTAAATACACTACCTTGATATTTAAAGAAACATCCGTAGTTATATATCCTATTGGTAGGGTCATTCCTTCAATCTGCATCTACATAACATAACAACAACAAATTATTTAAATTCCCAGATGCAGTTTAAGATCTTTGGTTAACTTCAGATACCTGAAGAGCCTTTTGACTTTGATCCAATCCGCTTCTGTTGGTTTTTACATTTTTCTGGCTATGATGAAAATGGTAACTGCTATGTTTGGTCTAGTATTGACTGCTAGGTACAGTAAGGATCCTATTGCATTTTTATATTCTTCAACTTTACTGTAAGCTTTTGCATCTTTCCTTTGCTTATAATATCCTGGATCAATAGGAAACTTAGATGTTTTACAATCGTTCATGTGATACTATTTAAGCTTTCTCGAAATGTACCTTGACTGGTCTAGGTAGAAGATTCCCTCATCACCACGTTAAAAATGCATGCCTCAATAGTAATGAAGATTTCCCAGTTTTTCAATGAGAATATCTTATGGGGGTACACCTTTGTTTTGTCTAGGAGATCGCCTCAGTTCCGTATTTTCAGAGATATACCCCTTTTCAGAATTATCTTTAAAAATAGTTAGATCTTCTGTATCCTTCTGTTTATCCTTAGGATGGGGATCTTTTGGTATAAATGTCACATCCCGACTAATTACAATACTGTCGGTATTTGTATTTAGCAAATGATAAATCTTTCGTTCCTTCTTCATATCCAACCATGATTTGTTTAACAGAAGTGTCATCAGGTTTTTGTCTCTTCTCTTTCGGTATATGCATATATGCTGGAGTACCGAATGCTTGTATATGTGCTAATGATGGTTTCCTTTTATGACAGTTTTTATAAGGTGTAACTGTAAGTTCTGTCTTCGGCAACCTATTTTGCAGGTAGTTTGCTATAATACACCTTCGCCCCAGTACTTGTATGAAAGATTAGAGCTTTTTAGCATTGCTCTTGTCATCTCAATTAATGCACGATTTTCTTTCAACGATTCTATTCTGTTGTGGAGAATAAGGAACAGTATTCTCATGTATATTAAATTTTCTTTCAGCAATTTTTCAACGTCGTTGCTTATCTATTCCCCTCCTCTATCTGGGGCTTTCCCAAACTGTGTTAATACTTGTTTGATGAAGTGTGCGATACATTTAGTTTCTTCTTTATGCTTCAGAAGGTAAACTGCAGTGTATCTACTATAATCATCAATTGCTGTTGGTATATATCTTGCACCACCTGGAGTTACAGTTTGCATTGGTCCACAAAGATCTGTATGCACTAAATCAAATATCTTGGAGGTTGCAAAGTAGACTTTCTTGGAAATTATTCTCTGCATGCTTTAGTAGCAATGCAGTCCTTACATGTCAATACAGTAGAATATTCATACCTTCAGCCATAGATTCATTGCACATCCTTAAAATATCGGCAGGATTTCTATAACCTAATTTTATGTGCCAGTCATGAATGCATTCCGTATGGACTTGTACAAAGAGTATACTCACTTTCCTTAAGAACATACAAACTTTTTCTGACATAGTCAAAAGCTATTATATTGTCAGTGTTCACAATATGGCATTCCGTACCTTTAAAGTTCACTTCATATCCATTATCAATCAGCTTCTTTGTGGATAATAAATTTCCAGATAGCTGTGGAATAAAAAGCACATCTTGGATCGTAATCTGTATTTCCTCATTTTGATTACTCTGATATTTTACCAAGCAATTACCTTTTCCCTGACTAAACACTGTATATCCGTTAGCTAAAGTTATTCGCTCAGGAACAGAATTACTATCAAAACTGCTTAACAGAGTTTTATCATTGCACATATGAATGGTGGTTACAAAATCAATACACCAGTAACCATGTAAATTATTCCTACTTGTAAAGCAATGGTAATTAGAAACTAGTTTCGCTTCATTAATGTCACTTGAACTCATAGTTGTATTGACTTGTTGCTTTTGGTTATGCTTAAGCTTCTATTTCTCATATTTCCTGCAGTCAGCCTTTAAATGCCCTAATTTCTTACAAAAGAAACAATTAGGTACCTTTTTTATCAGCTGAACTGTTACACGTTAAAGAAGAATATGACTTCCAAGCTTAATTCTCGCTTCCAGTACCAGATTCTTTGTTTTTGTTTTGACAAATATACTCTTCCAACTATTTATTTCTAATCAATTCAACAGTTAAATCTGCTTCTGGTTGTGTTTCTAAAGCTGTTATTAACATATTATAATTTTCAGGTAAGCTACTTAAAATAAATGCAACAAATAAAGGTTCTGAAATTTTCTCACCTAGCTTTACAGTTGATACACAATAACTTCCATTTTCATTAGATGATTGCTCATTTGCTCTTTATTGCTGTACTGCAAATTACACAGCTTTTTCAAAAGTCCAATCTTTCGAAATGGTATTGACTTTTCATGGTACTGTTTGAGAGTATTCCATGCCTCTTTCGCAGTCATACATTTTCTAATATGTCCTAATTGGTTATCTTTCAATAAAAGTCCTCTAGTTGCTCTAGCTTTTCCGTCTTTCGAAATCCACTTTGTAGTTACTGGGGATGGAGGTTCTGTATTAATAACATCCCGTAAATCCTTAATCAGCAAGAGTTCCAGTTTAAATTCCCAAGTCTAGTAATTTCGTTCATTCAGCTGTTTGATGCAGACGCAGTTTAGATCCATAGCCGCCATTGCATAATCATTAAGGACGAAAGAAGAAAATTAAAGTAATCGCTGTTCATCAATTTTTAGTCCAAAATGCTGATTCAAAATATTATTATACGCCTTTATGAAAGACTTCTTCTAATTACGGGGCCCATAACCTGTTATATAAATAAATTGAATTATAACTTCATTGCAAGGATAACAAACGTTTATTAGGAGAATGGAAAAGGTAAGCACATTAACATTACTACGACTATATAACTGATGTTCTAAAGTTGGCAGATTGCCCCAAAACATAGATTACGTCATTTAGCGCTCTGAGAGGTGAACATAAGCTAATAAAGAAAAAGAAATCACATTAATTATTGCATCTCGAGACATTTGGAGTTATAACATAACAACATACCTTCCATGCTTTTATAAAACTATTAGGTTTTTGACATTTAGCCTTTTATTTCATTTATGTATACAGCTGAAAACATTGATCATTGTTGTTTTTCTATTTGATGGCAAGTGCTTTTCCTCAATGAAAGGCAATAGTTTCACCTTTTCCTAGTTTTTTTTTTCTCCACTCTGTGTTTTGTGAAGTATTTACTTAGTACATAAGAAGCTTGTGTACCAGATGGCTATGCACAGAAATTACTAATTATAAAAAGGGTGCTTTTTTATTTCAGAAATGTTTTTTTTTGTAATTAATCGAGCATTTGAATTAGCTGAAGTTAATCTTTATATTTCTGATCAAATATAATCCTTTTTTTATGTATTATAATTTGTGATTATGTATAGTATATATGATTCAGATAAGTTTTATAAGATTACCTCCTCGCTCAGAGTACCTAAACATGTTATGGTCTGTTGATGTTTGGTCTCTGCTGTGTTAGAAGAAAAACTAGTCTTTTACTCAAATGTCTTCATTAGAGGTTTTTGTTTGTTTTATTTTGTTGTTGGTTCTTCAGAATGGTGTTTTTTCACTTGTCTTCAATATATGATTCATAAAGAAACTTATCTGTATGGTTATTATGTGTGTAGCAACTTTTAAAAAATGATGAAGCTCAAAATAAAAATTTTAAAAACAGAAAATTTCATTAATGTCTGTTCTCTGGAATTTTAAAAATTTAGTATTCATTATTGGGGTTTATTTTTTAGGATTGTAATTAAACATATTTTAATAGTTCATAGTAATTAAGAATTTACATATATTTCCCAGTTAATTCTAATTTTATAATAGATGTATTGATAATAATGTAATGCACTTTTGTGATTAATTATTAACATTTGCAGTCTTTTATTTAGATTTTGCATTTTAACATATGATTTTGTTTGTTATTTGAATCTGCTATTTATAGTTCTTAACTGTAATTTTTTAAAATGTGGATGCATGTCTGCCACCCCTTCAATGACAAGAACTTCCTAAGTTAATTAATGTAAGGAATTGCTTTGTGTGTGTGTAGCTTAAAAAAGTTGTTAAGTTGTAATGAAATATTTAGTGCATGTGCAGTTATATAATTTTTGTGTAATTTTGTACTTGTGTTCTAATGATTTTCATCATCTCACTTCTATCAAGTTTGAGGTGGAAGTATCTCTTTTTATTTCCACTTTAATGCTGCCATTCAAGATCTTTGCAGTTATCATTTGAATAGATAGCTATCCCATTTTTCCATATTTTCTTTTTTTCAGGCTGATTCCGAAACAGAGGCGGGTCCACTGAGCTCTCTAATGGAATAATTCTAAGTTCAAGCACATCTCCAAGGATTGAATTTTGGAGGGGGACAGATGTGCATGTTTCAAGCCTAATTTCTTAACCTAAAAGCATTTACTTTGTTGCATATTGCACATGCTTAATTCACCATAAAAATCTGTGTTTTAATTTTACTCTGTTCCACAGTCATTATTACATTATATTTCGTAATTGTTACCTCACCTGTTTTCTTGCATGTTCTCCTTTCTTTCATTCCCCCCCTTTATCTCTGGGTTTCTTAGTTTCTGCACAGCATGCAAAAAATGCCAAAATAAATCTGATGAATTTTATATAAATATCATAAAACAGTAAATATTTATTAATTCAAGATTGCTTAATAAACAAAATAAGAAAAGGAGTCAGGAATGTGTTGAGTTAGAAATTTTGAGAATTTATTTTTATATGACGTTTCTTTGATGTATATGCAAATTTGTTTTTTAGTAGTTACAAATAAAATGTGGTAATATATTTATAGCTTTGGTGCTATTATTGCCTAGTAATAATATGTAATTCATTTTTTGAAATTATTCATTAGTGAAAGTTAGTTTAATTTTTAGCTGTTAGGAACCGTATTTTAATAGTGAGTTTTAATATTCTGACATTGAAATGTTGATGAATATGATGTATTTTATCAAATTCATCAGCTATTTTGCACTATTTTTAGCAGTTGTGTGGTAAATATTGTAAAAGAAAGAGCAATTTAAAATGAAAGAAAATTCTTTTGCTTTTTTAATTGAGGAATCACTGTTTTGGAAAGTTTTGTATTTTATAAATATCACAATTTAAATGTGCTGTAAATTAAGCAATTTTTTATAGTGATTTTAATTGCAGTAGTCAACATTTAAGAAATTATACATTAAATATTTCATAAACTGAAAATTATAAAGCAGTGTCTGCACAATGCTTTATTTTTATTGTTCATACCAAGTTTAATATCCATCTAGTATTTCCATGGGGATTATGTGTAAAGTAGTGAGGGACAAAATTTGCCACATTTGCTTTTCTATAATTTTAATAACTTCTTAATCATGTCAAGTTCCTAACAAACAAGTTAATAAACACAAATATTACATGTTATCTAGACAAATCATATCATACACCTGTACTAATAGTAAATATATGGCATAATATAAAGTGGTATAACATTATCACCGTAATACCATCAACATAGATATGTTCATGAGAATGATATAATTTCATGTGTATTTCTAGGAGTTGGAATACCGGGAGGCAAGTCTCTTGCAACTCATGTGCGAGGATTCATAACTTTTTTCACGATAAATTATTCCTAAAATAATTTCATCACTTTTGTCACCTCAGCTGTCTTATTTGGTCAGAATGCTACATTTTTTTAGAACTTGGACATACATCAAGTGTGGACATTTTATTGGCTATTTTTGTTATCATATACTGGAAAAAACCTTGCCAAACTCATATTTTTTTGCCATGAAGAACTACGAGATGTCTTATAAACTTGCCTTTTCTTGTATCTAAACAATGTTTTTCTCTTTAAATTTCACATTTGCATTTATTAAAGGAGTAAAATATTGTTTTGTATGCCTGTTATTTAGTAATAATATTTTTTAAATTTCATGTTCAAATATCAAAATGGATATTTTTCATTATTCATTTCATGTATATTACACTCTAATATATTCACTGTAAAATAAATGTTTGTAAACAAGCACTCTCCCCCCCTTTTTTTTTAAAAAAAAAAAAAGCTGTGTTTAGAGAAAATTTGTACAATTCATGGGATTTTCAGATCATGGTATTATTTTATATTTTGTGCTATTTATGGACTTATTGATATTATATAAATATTAACTTGCTAAAATGTATTTCCATTTCTGTTATGCCATAAAATCATTTTTAGTGCATTCAAAATTATAAACATTATAATGAACACCAAAATTTCAAATAGACTATGCCTTTAAGCTATGTAATATTGGTGTTTAACACTCAGATAATACATTTTCTGATTAGTTTATAATGACATCATAGACATTGAAAGGTACAAAGCTAAATAACAAGATTTTTATATTTCAGAAGTCTCACAAAGCAGTGTCTTAAAGTATGTAAGAGATAATTCAGGAAAAAGGTTGTTTTCATTGTGTTGATTTTAACTGAATGTGCAGATTATTGCATTTTTCGTACCTTCGAAAAATGCTTTGATTTTTAGAATGGCCTGATGCTAATATATCAAACACAGGTAATTTTTTAGGTATCTTTCACCATATGTTTTAGAAGATGGCTTGAAGTAATGATTTATATTGTTGCTTTGCGCTGAAATGTTATTCAAATGAGTAAAAACTTTACTCACTGCTCTTTGGGTTTCGTCCCATGGGTGCTGTCAATCAGAATTGGGATGGAGCTTAAATGTGTGCTTTTTGTCTTAATTAAATTATCTAGTCAATTTTACTGATATACTTAAAGTTTTTTAAATTATTATTTGATTTAAAGCTGCGAAATGAAGTGTATTTCACTGATAGATTTAATTTTAATGTAATTTTGTGATGTGGGTTAATTTATACAATATTAATTTTAAATTAATGTATTTCAGAAAAACTTGTCAAATATCCTTTCTTTTGCATGAAATACTTAAATTACCTGCATATCTTAAAATAATTTTGAGAAAAAAAGATACTTGCATCAATAATTTTGTATTTTTTGAATGAATTGGACCGACTCCATGTATAATTTTTCGAACATTCAGATAATTAAAATTATATTATTCATAAGAATGATTTTATGCTTTATTTGGAAATTATACATCAAAGATTATTTTGTGATGTAAGGTCAATTTTTTATTATATTTTAATATTTATATTTAATGAATTACAAAGTGTACATGTAAAATGCTATATAATGTTTTCCTAAAATTTTAATAAGGAATTTTTTTCAGCTTTTTTCATTATGTAATCTATGTTTAATTAATGGTTTATGATATGATAAATTCTTACAAAAACTTTCAGTATTTTAACTTCCATGTCATATAAAACTAGATTTTGCTGTTTATTAATTTTTCATAAATAAAATTTTACAATTTTTTTTTATTGAAAATAAAGTATTCGATGCCTGTGAAAATGAATTTACTTATTATCTGATATGTAATTATTGACCTGATGTCCATTGAAGGATTTACTGAAAATAGAAAATGCAGGGTGTTTTTAAACAATAATTGATTTCTTTATATTAATACTTTGAGTTTTCTTGTAAAATATGATATAAAAGGCATCTTGATTTGTTTCTTTTATCTGTGCAAATATATATATGTATTTATGTAAAGTTCAAAATAAGAGGTCTTTTATGTATCACACTTAAAAAAGATTAGTATGGAAATTATAAGTTTATTCATGTTGAAAATGGTAATGATAAAATGCTATTGATTTTATGGTGAATCTGATTTTTTCTAGAACGATAATATTCAAGTTATTTTTTTTTTAAAAAGAGTTTGTTATGCTGTTATGCACACTGTATACTATTGTATAGTTATTAAATAGTTAAATCTTAGTAAATTTCATCAAGAAACATACTTAGTCATAAATGTTACTTAATGAACTTTATAAATGAAGCATATGAAGTGGTGTCATGTGATTTACAATATTGTATAAAACTTAAAGAAGAAACAATCTGTGTTTCTTCTTTACACAAGAAGAAACTTATTCTTTACCTCAAGAAGCTGTGGATGTTAGTTTATTTTGTTTGGAATTATGCAGTGTATAGATAACTTTCAGCTGGTTTTATTGAAAGGAAAAATGGTAGATAGGCCTCTTGTTTTTTTTACTTTAATTAATACAGTCATCTGTTTTTCAAAAAATTGCTTGTTATAAAACTTCTTAGCTAAAATGCAAATGAGATATCAACCTATCTCTCCTTTTTTAATGTAGACAAAATATCTAAAATGAAAAAGGACAACTGCATTTTTTGTAAGGATATTTAATTTAGTAAATTTTATGCAGTTAATTCTCAGAATGAAAATGGAGTTATTCATAAATTATAATATTTGTAATTCAAAGTTTTGGACACTAGTTTTATCTAAAAATATGTAATCCTGCAGTTTCTAAATCTGGTAATTTTATTTAAAAATAAATTGTAAATATTTATAAATTGTTCAAATATTTATAGCAGTATCTTTTAGATTATTTCGTTATATATATATATATATATATATATATACTAAATAATGCATACTTTTTGTAAATATTTATAACATTGATAATTTCATTTACTTTATAACAAGGCTTTGCAGTATTATAAAAATGTACTGGGAAATGTTAATATGTGTGAAACATCCATATTTGTCCATTCATCATTTCATGTTTTGTAAATAAAACATTCTTATAAAATATTTTATGAGTTTTGTTACTTTTTAATGGAATGCTTAAAATAAATCACTTCTGTACTTGGCCTGTTGATAAAATATATATATCAGCTGTTATATGAACATGTCTTAAATTGAGAAGGGGAAACAAAACTGTCCATTTTTTTCTCCAGGGCCAAGTGAGTATAATTGTATAGAACAGGGTTACTTAAACTTTTTTCAGTTTATGACCCCTGGACCCCATAAACATTGCACAAATCCAACGTATGTGTAAGTGAAACTAAATTATTTCACTTGTACTGTAACATACTATTAAAATTTTAGGTCATTAACTTTAATTTTCGAATTTTAAGACACAGAACATAACTTTAATTTCTAATTTTAAGACACAGAACAATGTGAAAATTTTAAATAACCAACGAAATGACAGCATCACATGCAAAGCAAGTAAAATGAACGTTTATATTATAAAAAGAATGCGTCAAAACATTTTCGTTTTTTCGTTGTCTGTATCTATTTTCAGATACATTGTGTAAAAATATTTGGTAATTTTAAAATTATTATTATAAGTTAACGAAATATTAAAACTGCTAAAATTTTTAGCGATTCCCCTACGACCCACAGTTTAAGAAACTCTGGTATAAAACATAGTTAACGCAAATGCTGGTTTTGATGTAGTCAATTTAGTGAAATATTGAAAATAAATCTGCTTTTACCTTGGTCTTTTAATGAACTGTCTGTGGTTGAATTTATACTTTAGACATACTTAAGTTAATAGGAGACAAAAATTTAAGTTCAAAATTGGGAAGAATTTTTTTTGCTGGGAAGTAAGATACAGTTAGTGCAGCTGGTGGTTTTCAAATTGTATAAATAGTTGCAATTTTGAAATATATTTGTTAATATTTTAACAAAATTTGAAATTCCAGGGACACTATTATTAACAAATTAATAGAAATGATAAACAGATTATAAATTGCTTACCTACCTTAAACTGAAATTGGTGTTTAAACAGTTATTATATTAGAAGGAAGTATTACTTTTGAATGAGTATACTGCATATTAAATTTCATGATTATAATTACTTTTAAATTAAAATTGATGCTAAGAATATATATTAAATACCATTTCTCAAAATAATGTATGTATCTCAAAAGTGAATTCTAGCTGTTTTATTTATTGTTCATCAAGTTACGATGAAAATTTCCAAGACTTTCTTGACAATTCAAAAATACAGTATTTTTGTGCATATTTGTATTTCATATTCCAGCATTTGGAAAATACATTTAAAACTGATTTTTTTAGGGGGGGGGAGGGAAATTGAATATAAGGAAAGTTGACTTAAAAATGCGTATCTGAAATTAAAAAAAAAATTTTTTTTAGATAAAAGTAGATCGTGATTTCTAAATTTCTGCAATCAAATGAGGGCCCACCAGCGGCCGAGCAGTAAAGTCGCTGAACACTGGGAGTTCGGTCCGAGGTTCGAATCCCGCGAACGGGCTGGCTGCATGGGCGTTTTCGTGGTTTTCCCCATGTGTAACGTGTATACGAGCCAGTTTCCCTTAGAAAGTCCTCCATGAAGGCATCCCTCCCCTTAGGCAGATAGCCCTAGTCTGCTTTGCCATAATTAAATACACACGCAATCAAATGTTTTAAATGAATATCAATCAAAAACTTTTTTATACATATGTTTAAAAACCATCATACATTCATATCCAACCAAAACTGCTGAAATTTGGAGGATACCAACTGAAAATCAAATATGAATGCATATAATCCACTACTACATTATAAGAAATGAAGCATGTGATTACTTGGAAAACAAATCCAAACTGTAATTGGTCTTTTCCAACTCATATACAAACACAACCAAATTTTATCCCCCCCACCAAAAAATTGTTTCATTAAACATTTCTTTTAATTAAATTATTTGAGAAATTTTGTTGTTTTATGTTAAAACTTTCTCTTTAATTTTATAGAGAGATGTAATTTCTTGTTCATTCAAATTCCAATGTTCAAGTCCTGTAACTGCTGTGTCCAGAATTATCACGTAAGTCAGTTGAAACCTTTTCATTTTCAGTAGCCATTTTGCCACTTCCTTCCCTATCAGTGATGATATTTTCTAGATGTAAAACCATGTTATACATTTCACCATTTATAATTTGGGCATTGTCATCAGTGCATCTTCGTCTAGTTTCATTTGCATTTCTTCATATATTCCATTAACTGGAAAATTTTTTTTTCTGAAGTTATGCTACTCGGCACTTTTTAAAAAAAATTGCTGCATTTTCTGGTTGCTAGGCCAAAAGTTTCTGGTTGCCAAAAGTTAATCTTATCTTCAGAGATCAGCAGTATCCTATTTTTGACAGTTTTTGCTTACACAGTTATTTCAATACAAATAAAAGTAAAGCATAAATAATAACTTCAAAATACTTCTTTACCACAAATATCAATTATAAAATTTAAGCTGAATATTTTTAGAGTTAGTTATTTTAAACAAATCTTACACGATAAACTATAATTCTGAAACAAAGTATTAAAATTCAATAAAATCTTTTTTTAAGAAAACCAAAAGTTAATCTTATCTTCAGAGATCAGCAGTATCCTATTTTTGACAGTTTTTGCTCAGACGCAAGTTACAGAAGCACAGAAGATAACCTTTGAATGATCCGCTTCAAATCTGGCTTTAAAACGGCAGACTTCTTACATCCATTTATCCTTGAAATAAACAAACTTGGCAATTGGTATTAGCAAACTTGTAAAAAATTCAGTAAATTTCTGGGATTAGGAGACCAGCACCATCGAAATTGATAATTGCACTCCTAATTTCCAGTATCTCGGTGGAACCTCCAATTTATTAAGACTGTAATGTATTTTGCAGTAATTTACAAAACAGACAATCTTCTTAGTAGAACATAAATTTTATTTCTAGTTCTCGGTGAGACAAATTTTATACAATTCTTAAGTGGCAAAATTTTAATACTACTCCTAGCTGGCAAAATCTTCAGAATACTAAATCTTTTTAAAACAATATCTCTCGTTGCTGAGTAACGGTTTGATACAAATATGGCATTGCCACTTCAACAATATTATATTATTTATTAAATAACAAGATATTAAACCTCTCCCCACTCCAGATAAACTTTAATTTATATTTTTATAAATAAAGTTTACAGTTTTTAAAACATAATATCAACACAACACCAGAATTAAAATACAAGCATTTAAAGGAGAATTAAACAAGAAATAACATAATAACATACACTGAAGAAGAGAGGAAGGAACAAAATATTTTTTTTATCTATATAGAGAAACAAATTATTTAATCAGGGCTAGGGAGTACGACTTAATGCGTCTACATTTTTATGGTTTTTACCACTTCGATGAACGATCGTGTAATGTAGGGTTGTTAGTACCAGTGCCCATCTCATAAGTCGGGATTTAGACTCACATTATTTTTGAGCCAAACTAAGGGATTATGATCAGTCATGATGAGGAATTTAGTATGCCCGTCTAAATAACATTGAAGTTTCTTTACAGCAAATATTATGGCGGCGCATTCCTTTTCTGTGTTTACTTTTTTTCAGTTTCTGTAAACTTCTTACTGAGGTATAATACTGGATGTTCATTGTCTCCTTCATCTTTTTGAGCTAAAATGACACCCATACCAGAGTTTGACGCATCAGTTTGCAAAATAAACTCCTTATTGAAATCAGGTGCATGTAGTATAGGCCTTTGAGACAGTTTCTCCTTTAGCTCTTCAAATGCTTTTGTGCACTCTTCTGTCCAATTTATTTTCCCTTTCTTTAAGTTTTCTTTCAAAGTTTCTGTTAAAGGTGCTGCTATAGATGAGAACATGGGAATGTAATGATTATAATATCCCGCTAATCCTAAAAATGCTCTGACTTGACTTTTTGTGGATGGCACTGGAAAATCAAGAATAGCTTTTACTTTCACTTCACTTGGCATTCTTATACCACGACCTACAATATGTCCTAGATATTTTACTCTATCTTGAGCAAATTTACATTTTATTGGTTTAATAGTTAAACCAGCGTCCTTTATTTTGGACAAAACGGCTTTCAGGTGACTTAAATGTTCTTCCCAGGTGTTTGAAAAGATTGCCACATCATCTAAATATGGAACAGCAAAGTTTTCACAACCGTGAAGGATTTCGGCCATCATTTTACTAAATGAAAATGGTGCATTTTTAAGTCCGAAAGGCATCCGTAGAGGTCTAAATGTGCCAAAACTTGTAACAAAAGTGGCTAATCTTTGAGCATTAGGTGTTAAAAGTATTTGCCAGTATCCCTTTGTTAAATCCAAAAAAGTTATATATTTTGCGCCTGCTACCGTTTTCTACTCGTTGTTCGATGTTAGGCAAGGGAAGAATTGTGTTTTTTTAGTCAATTTAATTCAATTTTCTATAGTCGATACAAGGTCTTGGATCCCTCCCTGCTACTTACTTCTACTAAAATCATAGGAGAAGTGTAATCTGAATCTCCTATTTCAATTATTTTATGCTGAAGCATTTTATCGATTTCTGTTTTTAATATATCCGTTTGTCTAGGAGACATTCTGTATGGTTTACAGTGGATTGGGGTGTTTTCTGTCAATTGAATATCATGCGTTATTAAATGAGTTTTTCCAGGTTTATTAGAAAAGATTTTTGAAAACTTCAGCAGCATATCATGCAATTCTTGAATCTGTTGTTCATTTAGCTTATCACTTAAGGAGCTGTTTTCTTTGATGTCCTCAAAATCGAACAATGTTGGTTCAGAGTCAATTGTTGGGAAATTTTCCTCCATATCATCAATTTCAGACTGATCTTCTGTAATCATAAGGTTAACCGATTCTGCTCGTCTATGATAAGGTTTTAGCATGTTAACATGGTAGACTTGGTTAAAGTCATTTTTCCTTCGAAACTCGCAACATAATTAGTTTCGGATAATTTCTTCTCAACCTTCCCAGGACTTTTCCATTCAACTGCTAGTCTGTTTGGTTTATTCGTTGATACAACTAATACTAAA